TTCTCTCAATGAATACTGAAAACCTGATCACAAACTTAGTCAGTTGCTACAGTAATCAAAACAGCACGGTACTGGTACCAAAACAGAGATGTAGACCAATGGAACAGAAAAGAGGTTCATTGGATGGGACAGAATGGGAGGCCACAGAAGCCTGGGATAGATTTCATGTCCCCACAACACAGCAGTGAGCACACTTCATGGCGTGCTGATGCTTACTGAATGGTACGACTGAGGACTGGGTGATTGTTTGATTGTATGTTTTTATTCCAAGAGGCTCAACAACATGCTCTATGGAAGCATGATCCTTCAAACGCACTCATCTATCCTTTCAGTAATTTTTCACTCCCTCAGCCAAGAGCTTCTCCATCTGGGTTTCTGCAACACCAATCTCAAACCCATAAAGCATGGGTCACAGCAACCCCGCTAAGCTCACACGCCCAGCTGTGGAAGCAAACTTCACTTAATGGCAAGTCTACTTTGCCACTACAGGCACGTGCAGCATGTTAGTTTATAGATTAGCCTTTGGTGTTAGAGAGGTCCAGCTGTGGGTGTGTCCCGTGAATAATTTACTTAACTGAGATTCACATTCCTCATCTGTATAATGAATAGAACCAAACTATGCCTCAAAGTGATTGTGATGCTTCAAAGAGGCAACATAGAAAAAGTGACCACATAGTATCCAAGACTCAAATGTGTATCACTATCCTTTACATTTTAGTAACTTAAGCAGCTGTTATCAAGTACAGTCATGTGCATAGTGACATTTTGATCAATGATTACTTACATGGCTGGGGTCAGATGGGCGTACACAAACCTACTGGCCTGCATCATTAGATTAAAAGAAAATTTTTTGTTAAAAATTTTAAGTAAGATGCTATACAATTGAAAGACTAACCACAGTGATAGAAGTTTCAGGGAGAGATAAAACTAAAAGTGCACAAGGATTTGGAGAAATGTCTCCTCACATATGCTGCCACAGGAGCATGAATTAGTGACACCATTTTGAAAAATTTTGGCACTATTCATGGCAATAAAAGATATGTTCCCTTCTAACAATCTACTTCACAGAAGTGAGTGCCAGTATTATTCCAAAGCCGGTTACACTTACGAACGTGAATGAATTTCAAATCATAATGTGAGTGAAAAGCCAGACTCCAAGAATCACATATTGACTTATTCTCTGTATGACAGTCCAAACCTGGAGAGGTCTAAACAAGTCATTAGCAGTCAGAGCAGGTCCTTAAGGAAGAAGATGAATAAAGGGGGAGGGAAATTTCAGGGAGGAACCAGGGATGTCTGCACTTGTGCCATCTCACCCTCTCAGATGTCAGGGTCCCAAAAGAGGGTGCTGGCAATATTAGGTGGTTCAAAGGTCTCATGAAGAAAAGCAAATGACAGGGACAGCAGCAAACTCAGTTCTTTAATGAAGTGCCCCAGACTGAATCGAGGGTGTGGCACTTAGTTTTGCATCTTATTATGTAAAATGAGGATCCTCCAGAGATAAAAAAATGTCATCCATAGCACAGCATGGACAGAATTATATGCTATCAGCACATTTTATCCTATGGAGTTTTCCTGCACACCTTTTAGCAATCTGTGAATAAAAGGTCCAGAACTTAACTTTTTAATATCAACTTAGAGAAACAACGGAAGCCTAATTTTTGAAGACAGGAAATAGTGTAATGCCATCTTCTGTGGGAAGAAACTCTTCGTTTCCCAAAATTACAGAACTGGAGAGAAGAAGCCTCATCTCAGAATCTGTGGTAGGGGTGGGAAGTGGAGGCTACAAATGTGCTCAAGGTCAGACTCCTTCTCTGCCTTCCCAGGAGACTGGAGACCTACCAGCGAGCCCAGAGTGAACATTCACTCTGCCATCCACCCCTGGGAGATCCCTTTAAACCCACAGAGAGGACAGAAACATAAACGTGCTATAACAAGTCTTAAAAGTTCAGAGGGTGATTATCAATTCCCCTTAGCACACAGCAGAGTTTTTTCTCTAAGTTCAAGTAAATGCCGTGAGAAAAAGATGCTCCCACAGATTCCTTCCTTTCCTTACAGATGACTCTCAATGCCCAGCCCTACATCCCTTGTGCATATTCCCAAGGAGTGCTGATTAATCCAAACCAAAAGTTTGGATGTTTCACTGGGCAGAAAAAAGCAGGTGTACTGCAGAGATCACTCTAATGAACACAGCACCCTCACAGCCCAGAGACACAGTTCCTACCTTTATGACGACAAACTTTGAAAAGAGCAAACCAAACCTCGCACACATTTTCATTTTCTTTTCTGATTTCATACCCCTGCTTCAGCCCCTCAAGCAGTGGGGATAACCTGAAGGTGAAGACTCTTAGGAACCCTTTCCCATTAGGTCCTACCTGGAAAGTATTCCCTACCTGGGGATCGTCTTCCTTTGCTTTGAAGACGCTCCCAAGCCAGCCTTTAAAACAAAAACATCAGGAAAAAAGTCATTAAAAAGAGAGACCCTCACCCACTCCTCTCCCAGAATCTAAAGCCATGTGGCCTCGCACATCATTCCCTGGTCTTTGTTCTGAGTCGATAAACCTTCCTACAGCCTCTCTGGCTGGAGTTCTACATTGGCCAAATCACTTTCTCTCAGGAGACCCCCAATCCTCCTTCCAGCGGGATCCCGGAATCAGGTTTCTATACGCTCAAGCGGCCAGTTGGTCCCTCATGATGTGAGTTACTTCATGGTACTTTTTACTTTTCACCCTTTTCTGGGATATTCCCTGCAATTACATAAACGAAAACATTATGAGGCTGAGACTCTGTGGTGTGCCTCACATAGATCTGTTATTCCCTTGGCAAGGGTAGAGAACAAGAAGTGGCACAAGCGGGCTGACCCATAGGTCAACATCCCCAAAATCATGAGGATGCTTATGGAAAACACAGCTCTTTATTCACAGAATTCACCTTTAAAGTCGATTTAATGGGCAAACACACAATGCTTAATCCAAGGAGGAAAATGTGTTGAGGAAAGGGCCTCTGCATTACAGCCGATAATGGATGCTATCATTTGAAAACCTCCCAGTGTATTGCGTGTTTTTGGGGAAGACATTCCCACTGAATTTCACCCCCACAAAGAGAATTGCATACACTGTACATAATGTACATTTTCAGATTTTCATATCCAGATTCTTGAGAAGAAATCACAAAAAAAAGCGAAATTTCTTTAGAAGACAAAGGAGTCTTACGTAGAGGTTTTCCTCCTCCAGATCTTCTTCCTCTGTCTGGGATCTGAGTCCGACCGTGCTCGCCAGGTCACTTGACGACACTGGAAGTACACAGAAAAAAGCTCAGTACCCTGGTGGTTGGTGGCTGGGATATGGAGGTGGGTGATGATCAGGCATGGACTGAGTTGCTGATGGGCTGTCCCCCTGGGTGGAAGAGGGCTGGCAAGGGAGGGCAGCGGGAAAGAGATGAGACATGGAGGTCTCCGCCTCATACTAGAGGCATCATGCAGCAACACAGAAGAGTCAACAGAAAAGGGAATCTCAAATGCACACTAAGTTTCAACGGAAGAGTGCCTTCCTACCTCTCACACGTTTTGAAGCTCTTTAAAAAAACAAACAAACAAAAAAAAAACCAGCACATTCAAGACTACATCAGTACTCTAGGACCCAATCGTGCTGGTGTGCTACATTTAGCATCAGTTTTAAAGATGCATAATAAAAACCTGGGTCTACCCAGCCCCTTATCTGAACCCCACTTTCTTCTATTGATTCCAGGTTTTTAAACTCAACCAATTGACGATCAAAAAATCTTGAAATCTTCCTTATGACCTGGAGCCCCAACCTTCTCCCAATTTCTGTTGTCCCATCTTTCTCATGGAAGAAATTGACATCTCGAATGTATTAACTGATGTCTTATGTCTCCCTAAAACATGTAAAAACCAAACTGTAGCCTGATCACCTTGGATATATGTACTCAGGACCTCCTGGGCTGGTCGCTAGCATGTCCTTAACCTTGGCAAATTAAACTTCTAAATTGAGACTGGTTTTAGATAACCTTTTGGTTTGCAATGTGTAATCACAGTGAGGTTTATTTTTTCGAAGAGGACACTAGGGATTTGTTGTGTCAAACAGAAATAACAATATATGTTTATTGTGATTATGTCCCAGGAACATTTTTTCCATTTATGGATTCACATGAAGGAAAACGGCTGTCACATAAATGGCTGTCGCTGCAGTTTCTGTTTTTTAGAATTTTCAATCCTTGAATAAAGCTAAGTTGATCAGACAGACGGATTCAATCTAGGCAAAACAGTCTATTTTAGTTATGTACTGAACTTTTGTTATAGCCAATGATGGAAGAATTGGAAACATTGAAATTATATTCTATAAAAACAACTGGTGTTCATCACACGAATATTTCCTTCTTCCAGTCCACCTTTCCATTGTCATGCAGGTGCAGTAATTGCATATGGAGGATACCTATGCTCCTTTTCTGTCTTGTCATTGTGTCTAATTAATGTAGTTTGCAGAAGTTGATCATTTCTAGTCTTGTGGTGATAAGAGTTTTCAGCTATCTCAAAAATATCCCATTCATGTTATTTGTTTGGGGCCAACTGCTGAGGAATGTCCCCAGCACTGAAGGGAGTTTCTCAATATTTCTAAGTACCGCTTCCTAATATTCAGAACTTGCACTTGACCCTGTTGTCAGGGGTATCTAAGGCAGCTCCGTAGTATTCACACCAATGGCCATGCCATATCCTGCAGTTACATTCACTGTTGTCTGCCCTAAGCCACGTGACTGCTGCAGCCATCTTGGAATCATAGGCAGTGTTTTGGGATCTCTGTAGACTCATGTGTGAGGGAACCAAATTACAGCTACCCACGATGGTAGGGTTGAGAGCCATCCTCCTCAGGGTAATGACTGCAGTTCAACAATTCATTATCAATCAGCTTTAGAGCATAACCCTAGGTCATATCTTGCCTCCTTCCTTTAGGGGCTTAAAAGCAGGGCACATTCATTAGCCCTTCAGTTTCTCCATCCAAGGGGTGTGTGGATAGTAACAATCACTGTTTAGGTGAGCTCTGTAGCGAGGATTGAATGGGTTATTAAAATAAACTGTGTATTGTAGATCTTCAGAATGGTAAATTAAAAAGAACTGACTTGCTTGATATCTCAAAGCTTAACACATTCCAGGCCTGCACGCATACCCAAGAGATGAGCTCCAAAGTCAGGGGTGATGCCATAATGCACAACTGCTCTGTCCAAAAAATAGTCATTTCAACTTAACTCTAACCTTGGGACAAAAGCATGAGATATGAGTATCAAAAATGCTTTTGGTGACATCCCAATTCCACACAGTAGCTACTTCTGAAAAAAGAAAATGTAAGTGCATGCCATCTACAAAATGAGTCAGTGACGAGAGGCTGATGAAAAATCCACAGAGACCTGGTCAAATGGAATGAACACCAGTTTTACTTGGGGAGGAGAATTATCTACCATATTGGAAGGTTCCAGGCATGTGACATCATATCCTGTATGATTTCTTTCTCTTAAATGAAAAGTGGCTCAAACTGAGGCTGTTGCCAAGTTATGGAGATGACCGTGGCTTAGCCTTGGCAAAGTGCTCTGGATAGTGTCACAGGACCTGATTTGTGCCTTCCTTCCTTCTGAGGAGGGTAAAAGGGTGGGTGAAAGCATATTATTCATATCTCTGTACATAGGGAATTTTGAATAATCCACAAAAGTAAGTTTAAAACTATGTTTTCGTAGGTAAACTGGGCCTAGACACAGATATTATCAGTATGTATTTGGGAAAACTTGTGATATGAGTAGAAGTAACACGCTCTCAAATACTGTGAACTAAATATACATTTAGGCTGATGAAAGGAGGGAAGCCATGGGAATAGCAATATTAGGTTTTCTTCTTGTGCGTTTTCCTTCACATTTCCACATTCCAGATTCACTTCAGATTCTGAAGTCTAGAGTTTAAAAGATAACTGATGGTGAAAGAAAGAAGCACAAGAGGACGTCAGGTATGCAGAATCTAATCAGAAATACTGTATTTTACTCTATGGAAAAATAATAAACATACAATAGCATGAACAAAGAATTAAACTATAAATGATGGAATAGTAGGCAAAGTATTTCCTGAACGACCTTACTGCACCACTAATTGGAAGGACACCATTCAGTAGGTGAATATGAATAGACTTTCACAGTCACAATATGCCTGAGGAGAGGTATGAAGCTGAGAACTTCTTTCACATTCTGCATATGGAAAATCGGAGATAGTCTACAAGGATGCTATTCATGCTAATAAATTCATCAAAATTGCAGAGTACAAGGTTAACACTCAAATGGCAGTTGTGTCAATATGCACTCAATATCAACGATCCAATAGCAAGATTACAAATGTAATTCCATGGATCATAACCTCTGAAATCATTAGATACTTAGGATCTAACCAATGAGATGAAATACTCATAACCTGGTAAGAACAGAATGTGACTGAAAGGAAGGAGAGAAGGTACAAATAAATGAAAAGGTGTCCCATATTCACAGACAGGAAGGCAAAAGCTGACTAATACACAATACTACAAAATGATCCAAAGATGCACAACAATACTATCAAACTGGTAACAACCATATGTTGCAGAAATAGAAAAGATAACCCAACATTTTTTTTGAATTCTTATATGTCTCAATCATAATAATGTTGAAAAAGAATAACGTTGGCAGATACGCATTCATGAGATTGAAATCTGAGAGGAAAAGATACAGAAATTCAGACAGCAGGGTCCTAGCACGGGGGCACCCGTTAAGTATTGGAAATATGGAATACAGATCCCAAAATTCAACGCATGCATACACAGCCAACTGATCTTCAACAAAGGTGCCGAGAATGCACAATGGGAAAATAAGGTCTCTTTAACAAATAATGGTAAAATCCATATTCTCATTTAATAATGAAATTGAGCAGTGTGCTCAAGGGTGTGCTTCTTCCTCCATTTACAAGACACCAGAAGGGTGTGCTTCTTCCTCCATTTACAAGACACCAGAGCTTTGCAATGACCCCAGAGCAAATCTTCATCCTGTCCCCCATGCCCAGACTGAGCCCTTGATAGCAGGAGTAAATAGCAAGGACAGACAAATGAATGTGCTGCCAGAAGGTGAGCATCAGTTCGTCCCAGCATCTGGGCACACTGTGGAAGACTTGTTGTCTTCAGGATTAAGTAACTGCCATGACAGAACTGTGTCCCAAACCAAAGGCTTTAACATTTTGCAGTAGCAGAGGCAGAAAAGAGGTATCCTTAGAAAGACCCCATCTTTAAATAATAAAGCAAGAACAGGGGACACACAAAAAAGAAGAAAAAAAAAAGAAGAGGTGATCACAGACAGGGTACTCACACTTCTCACCACTATGACATTAAACTCTGACAAGAACAAACTTCAGCCACGTTTTCTTTTCTTCTCTTTCTACAGGCTCACTCAGCCTCCCAAGCAGCAGGCAGAAGCTGAAGGCTCCTGGGAACCTGCTTTATTAGATTCCACCTGTAATCTTGTTGCCTACCTGGAAAGGTGTCTTCTTCACTGTTGAGATTTTCCAGAATCCACTCTTTAGAACCACCAACAGCAGAGTAAGTCAGAGAGAGGTGCACTCACTTCTACTCCAGGTGAAGCCACGTCGGCTCACATAACATCCCCTGGCTGGTCCTCTGGGTTCACATGCATTCATACAGTCCCTCTGATCATAGTTATACACTTGCAAAATTATTTGCTCTCACTAGACCCCCAATATTCTTTAACCAGAACCCAGAATCAGTATATGAAAAACAGCAAGTTTGTTCCACAGCAAGTGAGCTACTTGAGGGTACATACCGTCAACAGCGAGTGATGAACCCTGCAATTAGACAAAACAAGATGCTATGAGGATCAGATGAATTCTCCTGCACCCCCGCCCCCACTCCCACAGATCTGTCAGTCTTTTGATGACTTCAGGAAACTAGTTGTAAGACAATGGTTGAGTCAAAGGTCAAGAATCAAACATGCTAGAATAGAGGACACCTGTGGAAAAGACAAGACCTTTCCCACAATTTATCTAGAAGTTGATTTACATTGGCAAATACACAATGCCTAAACCAAAGAGGAAAACTGGTGTTGAGGAAAATTCCTCTGCGTTACAGTTGATAATGAATGCTGTCATCTAAAAACATTCTAAGATATTACATATCTGATGGGAAGACACTCCCATTGAATTCCAACCCCAAAAAGAGAATGGGACATGTCAGACATAATGTGCCTTCTCACATTATCACTAACAGAAGGAAGGAAATCAGAAAACAAACAATTCTTTTTTCATTTCGTTTTCTTCTGAAGTTTAGGTTCCAGGATGCATGTGCAGGACTGTGCAGGTTTATTACACAGGTAAACATGTGCTATGGTGCTTTGCTGCATCTATCAACCCATCACCTAGGTTTTAAGCCCCGCATCCATTAGCTATTTATCCTAATGCTCTCCCTCCCCAATCCCCACCTGACAGGGCATTCTTTAGAGGACAGAAAAAGGGGTTCTTACCTCACCATCTTCCTCACACTTGGGGCTCCTGCAATCCTCAGGAGGAGCTGGAGGGAGACAGAGTAAAAGTCAGTACCCTGGTGGCTGTAGACTGTGAGTAACTCAAGGAGCTTTGCTGGGTGTGGCATATGGAGTGTGGGACTGAAGATTCTGAGACCATCTCAGAGAAACAACTATGTTCAGATAGTACCGTGAGGGAGTCTCACCAGATATCTTTCATCTTAGACAATGCCAAGACCTTTCCCAAAAGATATTAACCAATCAAAAAGCAAGGCTTAGATGTTTGCTGTGACATAGGCAGGAAAAACTGGTCTCCTGGGAAAAGTCATCATTAAATACCAGAGTAAGAAACGATGGTTACAAAAGCAGCCCACAAAGCCCATGGACACACATCCTCTCATCTCTATCTTATTAAAATCCAACAGAAATAATTCAGACCTCTACAGCTATTTTTTTTTTTTTTTTTTTTGGTTCTGGCTTCATAGCCCCTTTCCTAGGTTCCAAAGCAATGGGTGTAACCCAACTGCTCCCAGAAATACTCCTAGGGTAGTACTTTTGTTTTTGTTTGTTTGAGACAGTCTTGCTAACCAGGCACCGGGCTGGAGTGCAGTGGTGGGATCTTAACTGACTGCAATATCTGCCTCCTGGTTTCAAGCAATTCTCCTGCCTCAGCCTCCTAAGTAGCTGGGACTACAGGCACACACCACCACGCCCAGCTAATAGTTTTAGTAGAGACGGAGTTTCACCATGTTGCCCAGGATGGTCTTGATCTCTTGACCTCGTGATCCACCCACCTCAGCCTCCCAAAGTGCTGGGATTAATAACCTGAGCCACTGCACCCGGCCTAGGGTATCATTTTCTACCTGCATAAATTGTCCTATTGCAGCTTCCCTCATGGATGGTGTCAACTGGCCAATCTTTAGAGACACAAATCTCAGCAAGAAGTTATTTCGGAGAGTGACTCACCCACCCTCCTATTCCAGGTGAGGCCACACTAGATTACATGAGATCACCCTGAGCTTTCCTCCATGTTCTCAGATTCTCTCCAGACTCTGTGGAGCCAGAGGTTTTCAACAAGGCATTGCTTACACTTTCCAGCCTTCAAGTAAGAAAGAGAAGCTGAAGGAATCACCTTTCCATTTTTCCTTCTACTGGCCCATTATCAGTCTCACCTCCAATTACACAACCCTAGGATCCCAACTTTTATGTGCACGGTCCAACAGTCAGATCCTGGGCCAGGCTCACAGCAGACATGCAAGACAGCATTCTGTGGGGATGGAAATGCTCTCTGATGTACAGCTTCTGGGCCATGTACAATCGCATGGTGGCTGTTGTGATGAGGTTTTGAATATTTCATTGTATATATTTATTTAAGTATAAAGAGGTATATATATGACTGAGAAGCACACTAGATGGGACAGCTCCAGATATCCAGACATGAGGAAGACCCGACTCCCCTCTCCTGGTGTTTTTTGCAGAATCCTGTGCTGCTCTGATCTTACCACACATTTAGGGTTACTTCCTGAACATATGCACAAGGGCCTGTCACTGTGTGGGGCTGAGGATATGACAGTGAGGACAACATCCAGGTCCAGAGGGATTCCAGCAGGGATGCACTTGCACCCAGTGGAAGAGCATGGCCCTGCACACCCTGTCCAGACTAGATCAGAGCAGCAGGATCAGAGGGGTGGGGGCATCTCCTGTCTTCAGGAGCTCACCCTTATCTCCAGAGACCCTGACTCAGAAGCTGGGCAGGCTCCAGGTTGAGTGTGTGGCTAAACAGGCTGAGAAGGAAACCTTTCCACACCTGCACTAGAACCCAGCCCAGGGGTGACCTAGAGCTCATCCCAGGGGTGTGTTCATTAAAACATCCATGGAGCCTAAAAAGTGTCTGTCCCAGGACTGAGCTCTGGGGTAAAAACAAATGAGGAAGACACAGTCACTGCCCTGCGAGTAAATACCCATAGCCAGGGCTCCTCTATTCACCTGTGGGAAGACTCAGACTTTGAGGTGGAAGATTTTTAACCATCTCCAAAATAAGTGGAAACTGAGATGTTATGGATTGCACAGAAGAGTTGCAAGGATGACCTGGAGTCTGGGATCAGTCCCCAGCCCTTTGCTGAGATCACCCTGCACTGAAACTCATGTCCCTCCCCACCTACCCTGCTACTTTGGAGTGCTGCAGCTGCCCAGGCCAAAAGCTGGAAGACTCTGTCCAGTTGAAAAGCATTTCTGGGCCAGAAGACCCTTGGCCAACAGGGTCTACTGAAGAATCATTCCTCAGGAGATTTCCAGAAGAGGTGAAAAATAAAAACTTGTCTGTCTCAGCCCCAGGAAGATCAGGCCTGGGACCTCTCTGTGTCTGGTCTGACCCTGAGGTCCATTCCTACTGACTCATGTCCTGTCTGTTCCGTGTCAAAAAATGGGGACCTGATTCCTGTTCTGCCCCTCTCCGCAATGACACTCTGTTGGTATCATTGCCATCATCGCACAAAGAGATGGAGAAGACATGGGTCAGGAAGAAAGCTCCTTTCTCAAGGTATTTAGGGTGATGTTCACATCAAGCTTTCGACAGAGAGAAAGGCCAAGTCCTACTCACTCCTCCCCAGAAGGGGTCTCATATCCTGCCTGGGCCCCGGTGATGACGCTGAATGGATGCCCCTAACACTGCAACCTTGACATTCTCTTTAACAATGTCCCTAATGTTTTTCCCCTCTGATCCTCTAAATCATGTTTCCCTTCAGGTCTAGCACGAGGCTCTCCCTTGCTCTCTCCCATGAAGCCCACTAAGCAGGTGTCCATGAATTCAGAGAACCTCAATGTTGGTAACACTGATATTTTCCTTGACTCACACACAGCAGCGCCCCCAAAGCACCAATGGGAAGCTTCGTCTAAAGATTAAAGGTGTCAAGGACAATCTGGTCATGAGAAAATCACTTCTGGGGTGAACAAGTGACATTGCACAACCAAACAGTTTCATTCTTTTGTTCCATTGGGAAAATACTGACACATACAAGACAATCAAATTTTACTGAAAAGCAAAGCATCTTCACAGAATGAATGCTCCAAAAAAAACCCCTCAAACCATCATGTGGTCTACTTAACATTGATCATGACTTAAAGCAGCTACCTTGGCTCTCTGTGTGAAGGTTTTCAGAAGGAAACAAAAACCTATTTCAACAGTAGAATCAATAGGGCATGACACTGTCTAGAGCTGAGTTCTTCATGGAGACATCTGTTTCTCACAGCACACCCGAGATCCTCACACCTATCAGGAACCCGAAGCTAGAAAGGTTCTCCAGACAAAAGCAAGCAAGAAAATCACCCCTGACTTATCACCAAGATGTGTCATTAGGAAGAAAGTGGTATTAGAATATGTACAATGTTAGAGAGGGGAACAACACACACAGTGGGGGAAGTGGACGGGAGAGCATCAGAATAAAGAGCTATTGTATGCGGGGCTTAATACCTAGGTGATGGGTTGACAGGTGCAGCAAACCATGCACACTTTTAGCTGTATAACAAAGCTGCACATCCTGCACATGTATCCCATAACTTAAAATCAAATTTGATTTAAAATAGAAATTGCCAGAGAAGGCAAATCTAGAAAGTACCTTAGCGGCTACCTAGGGCCAGAAGTGTGGGCCTTGGGGAAAAAGAGAAGTGACTACTAATGGCTTTAGAATTTCTCTGAATTGTGACAATGGCTGCACAACCCTGTAAATATAGTAAAAACACTACATCACCCACTTTAAACAAGTGAATAGTTTTGCATGTCAACTCTGTGACAATAAAGCACTTTATGAGAAAAAGAATACATACGGAGGTCATTTGGGGCTGTCACGGTGTCCTGCAACAAGAGAAAAACAAAGCATCTTAACATGCGGGGTGCGGTTGGTGCAGATATTTATCATGGTGACATTAGAAAACCACATGTCACTGGTGCCCAAATGAAGCATGTAAGATGCCTCTGAAATAAACAGTGGGGTGTTTTGGAAATGTAGCAAGTGGCCATGTCAGCTGAAAGATACCAAATAATTTTTCAAAAAGAATATGTTGCCACTGAGAAATAGGCCCATGACCAGACTGTAAGTTATGCCATCTTTTGACTGACATCATCAATCAGGCCTCAGTTGGTGAGAAACTCCACTGACTGGTCGCTAGAGTAGGTGTGATTCACCATGGCAGTCGAAAATGATCTTCGCTTGATATTCCAGAGGCCCCAGGAATAAAATTTCTCTTCGAGACAAAGAAATGCATCTCACCACATCACGGGGTAGGTCCTCATCCTCGTCATCCTCTAAGATGATTTCAAGAGGACCTAAGACAACACAGAGTGACAGTCAGTGCATTGGTGATGCTCAGGAATCTCACAAGGAGCTTTGAGAAATGTGGACCGGGCTGGAGTGCATGCAGCTGGTCGTTTGACAAGCATGGACCCAGCTGCTGCTGGACCATTTTCCTTGGTGCTGAAGGAAGGAAAAGGAAAGGGGCAGAGAGAAACGAAAGAGCCTTGGCTTCCTAGCTGGGGCAGCCTCATCAATGTGAAATCGTCATTTGAAGAACCTAATAATACAGAAAGGCAGTGTACTACAGAAAGAGGAAGTAGATTAGGGCTGCCTAGGACCAGGGGCGTGGGGGGTTGGGGAGAACAGAGGGGAAAGAAGCTTCTAATATTAGACTCTAACAATGGTCGCACAACCCTATAAATAGAGTAAAAACACGGAATCACCTACTTTAAATAAGTGAATTTGTTTGCATATGCACTACGTCTCGGTAACTGTTTAAAAGAAAAAGAATACGTACGGCGGTGACACCAAATGGCACGCTTCTCCTGCAATAAGAGAAAAAGAAACACCATGAGGATGACATCATGCTGGGTCCCGCTGGCACAGGTCTAATATTCACTTGGTGACGTTAGATAACCAGATGACAGGCTGGGCACGGTGGTTCACGCATGTAATCCAGCATGTGGGGAGGCTGAGGCGGGCAGATCATGAGGGCAAGAGGTTGAGGCCATCCTGGCCAACATGGTGAAACGCCGACTGTACTAAAAACTACAAAAAACCCGGCGTGGTGGTGGTGAGAACCTTCAGTCCCAGCTACTCGGGAGGCTGAAGCAGGAGAAATGCAGTAGGAGGATGCTGCAGTGATCTGAGATCACACCACTGCACTGTAGCCTGGAGACAGAGAGACTTTGTCTCAAAAACAAAACTAAACTAAACAAAAAACCAGATGTCAAACAGTGTTGAAGTCACAGGCCCCAAATGGAGCACAGGGGTGCTTGCAGAAAATGCAGTGGCTTTGGAATACTTAGCAGGTATCTATGCTGGCTGAAAAATACGAAATTGTATTTCAAGGAGAAAACGTTGCAACTGAGAAATATGCCCCAAACCAAATTGTTAGCTATGCCATCTTTTGATTGACATCGTCAATCAGGCCTCAGTTGGTGAGAAACTCCACTGACTGGTCGCCGGACTCCACGACACCTGAGGTCCGATTCACAATGGCAGTCAAAAAGGATATTCACTTGATATTCCAGAGGCCCCAGAAAGAAAAATTTCTCTTTGAGACAAAGAAATGCATCTTACCTCGTCACGGGGTAGCTCCTCATCCTCGGGTCCTGCGGGACCTCAACGGGACCTAAGAGAACACAGAGTGACGGTCAGTGCATTGGTGCTGCTCAGGAATCTCACCAGGGGCTTTGGGAAATGTGGACCGGGCTGGAGGGTATGGAGCTGGGCGTTTGACAAGCACGGACCCAGCTGCTGCTGGACCACTCTCCTTGGTGCTGAAGGAAGGAAAAGGAGAGGGGCAGAAAGAAATGAAAGAGCCTGGCTTCCTAGACAGGGCAACCTCATCAACGTGAAATCGTCATTTGAAGAACCGGTTAATAAAGAAAGGCAGTGTAGTACAGAAAGAGGAAGTAGATTAGGGCTGCCTAAATCCAGGGGCGTGGGGGGTTGGGGAGAACAGAGGAGTCACTACTAAGCGGGTTTTCTGAGGGGGAAAAATAGCTTCTAAAATTAGACTCTAACAATGGTCGCACAACCCTATAAATAGAGTAAAAACACGGAATCACCTACTTTAAATAAGTGAATTTGTTCACTACGTCTCGGTAACTGTTTAAAAGTAAAAGAATACGTACGGCGGTGACACGAAACGGCGGGCTTCTCCTGCAATAAGAGAAAAAGAAACACCATGAGGATGACATCATGCTGGGTCCCGCTGGCACAGGTCTAATGTTCACTTGGTGACGTTAGATAACCAGATGGCAGGCTGGGCGCGGTGGTTCACGCATGTAATCCAGCATGTGGGGAGGCTGAGGCGGGCAGATCATGAGGGCAAGAGGTTGAGGCCATCCTGGCCAACATGGTGAAACGCCGTCTGTACTAAAAACTACAAAAAAACCGGCGTGGTGGTGGCGAGAACCTTCAGTCCCAGCTACTCGGGAGGCTGAAGCAGGAGAATTGCTTGAATGCAGTAGGAGGACGCTGCAGTGCTCTGAGATCACACCACTGCACTGTAGCCTGGAGACAGAAAGACTCTGTCTCAAAAACTAAACTAAACTAAACAAAAAACCAGATGTCAAAGAGTGCAGGCCCCAAATGGAGCACAGGGGGCGCTTGCAGAAAATGCAGTGGCTTTGGAATACTTAGCAGGTATCTATGCTGGCTGAAAAATACGAAATTGTATTTCAAGGAGAAAACGTTGCAACTGAGAAATATGCCCCAAACCAAATTGTTAGCTATGCCATCTTTTGATTGACATCGTCAATCAGGCCTCAGTTGGTGAGAAACTCCACTGACTGGTCGCCGGACTCCACGACACCTGAGGTCCGATTCACAATGGCAGTCAAAAAGGATATTCACTTGATATTCCAGAGGCCCCAGAAAGAAAAATTTCTCTTTGAGACAAAGAAATGCATCTTACCTCGTCACGGGGTAGCTCCTCATCCTCGATGTCTTCTAATATGAGGTCCTGCAGGACCTCAACGGGACCTAAGAGAACACAGAGTGACGGTCAGTGCATTGGTGCTGCTCAGGAATCTCACCAGGGGCTTTGGGAAATGTGGACCGGGCTGGAGGGGGCGTTTGACAAGCACGGACCCAGCTGCTGCTGGACCATTCTCCTTGGTGCTGAAGGAAGGAAAAGGAGAGGGGCAGAAAGAAATGAAAGAGCCTGGCTTCCTAGACAGGGCAACCTCATCAACCTGAAATCATCATTTGAAGAACCGGTTAATACAGAAAGGCAGTGTACTACAGAAAGAGGAAGTAGATTAGGGCTGCCTAAATCCAGGGGCGTGGGGGGTTGGGGAGAACAGAGGAGTCACTACTAAGCGGGTTTTCTGAGGGGGAAAAACAGCTTCTAAAATTAGACTCTAACAATGGTCGCACAACCCTATAAATAGAGTAAAAACACGGAATCACCTACTTTAAATAAGTGAATTTGTTTGCATACGCACTACGTCTCGGTAACTGTTTAAAAGAAAAAGAATACGTACGGCGGTGACACGAAACGGCGGGCTTCTCCTGCAATAAGAGAAAAAGAAACACCATGAGGATGACATCATGCTGGGAGGTCTAATGTTCACTTGGTGACGTTAGATAACCAGATGGCAGGCTGGGCGCGGTGGTTCACGCATGTAATCCAGCATGTGGGGAGGCTGAGGCGGGCAGATCATGAGGGCAAGAGGTTGAGGCCATCCTGGCCAACATGGTGAAACGCCGTCTGTACTAAAAACTACAAAAAAACCGGCGTGGTGGTGGCGAGAACCTTCAGTCCCAGCTACTCGGGAGGCTGAAGCAGGAGAATTGCTTGAATGCAGTAGGAGGACGCTGCAGTGCTCTGAGATCACACCACTGCACTGTAGCCTGGAGAAAGACTCTGTCTCAAAAACTAAACTAAACTAAACAAAAAACCAGATGTCAAAGAGTGTTGAAGTCACAGGCCCCAAATGGAGCACAGGGGGCGCTTGCAGAAAATGCAGTGGCTTTGGAATACTTAGCAGGTATCTATGCTGGCTGAAAAATACGAAATTGTATTTCAAGGAGAAAACGTTGCAACATGCCCCAAACCAAATTGTTAGCTATGCCATCTTTTGATTGACATCGTCAATCAGGCCTCAGTTGGTGAGAAACTCCACTGACTGGTCGCCGGACTCCACGACACCTGAGGTCCGATTCACAATGGCAGTCAAAAAGGATATTCACTTGATATTCCAGAGGCCCCAGAAAGAAAAATTTCTCTTTGAGACAAAGAAATGCATCTTACCTCGTCACGGGGTAGCTCCTCATCCTCGATGTCTTCTAATATGAGGTCCTGCAGGACCTCAACGGGACCTAAGAGAACACAGAGTGACGGTCAGTGCATTGGTGCTGCTCAGGAATCTCACCAGGGGCTTTGGGAAATGTGGACCGGGCTGGAGGGTATGGAGCTGGGCGTTTGACAAGCACGGACCCAGCTGCTGCTGGACCATTCTCCTTGGTGCTGAAGGAAGGAAAAGGAGAGGGGCAGAAAGAAATGAAAGAGCCTGGCTTCCTAGACAGGGCAACCTCATAAGAACCGGTTAATACAGAAAGGCAGTGTACTACAGAAAGAGGAAGTAGATTAGGGCTGCCTAAATCCAGGGGCGTGGGGGGTTGGGGAGAACAGAGGAGTCACTACTAAGCGGGTTTTCTGAGGGGGAAAAACAGCTTCTAAAATTAGACTCTAACAATGGTCGCACAACCCTATAAATAGAGTAAAAACACGGAATCACCTACTTTAAATAAGTGAATTTGTTTGCATACGCACTACGTCTCGGTAACTGTTTAAAAGAAAAAGAATACGTACGGCGGTGACACGAAACGGCGGGCTTCTCCTGCAATAAGAGAAAAAGAAACACCATGAGGATGACATCATGCTGGGTCCCGCTGGCACAGGTCTAATGTTCACTTGGTGACGTTAGATAACCAGATGGCAGGCTGGGCGCGGTGGTTCACGCATGTAATCCAGCATGTGGGGAGGCTGAGGCGGGCAGATCATGAGGGCAAGAGGTGCCATCCTGGCCAACATGGTGAAACGCCGTCTGTACTAAAAACTACAAAAAAACCGGCGTGGTGGTGGCGAGAACCTTCAGTCCCAGCTACTCGGGAGGCTGAAGCAGGAGAATTGCTTGAATGCAGTAGGAGGACGCTGCAGTGCTCTGAGATCACACCACTGCACTGTAGCCTGGAGACAGAAAGACTCTGTCTCAAAAACTAAACTAAACTAAACAAAAACCAGATGTCAAAGAGTGTTGAAGTCACAGGCCCCAAATGGAGCACAGGGGGCGCTTGCAGAAAATGCAGTGGCTTTGGAATACTTAGCAGGTATCTATGCTGGCTGAAAAATACGAAATTGTATTTCAAGGAGAAAACGTTGCAACTGAGAAATATGCCCCAAACCAAATTGTTAGCTATGCCATCTTTTGATTGACATCGTCAATCAGGCCTCAGTTGGTGAGAAACTCCACTGACTGGTCGCCGGATTCCACGACACCTGAGGTCCGATTCCAAAAAGGATATTCACTTGATATTCCAGAGGCCCCAGAAAGAAAAATTTCTCTTTGAGACAAAGAAATGCATCTTACCTCGTCACGGGGTAGCTCCTCATCCTCGATGTCTTCTAATATGAGGTCCTGCGGGACCTCAACGGGACCTAAGAGAACACAGAGTGACGGTCAGTGCATTGGTGCTGCTCAGGAATCTCACCAGGGGCTTTGGGAAATGTGGACCGGGCTGGAGGGTATGGAGCTGGGCGTTTGACAAGCATGGACCCAGCTGCTGCTGGACCATTCTCCTTGGTGCTGAAGGAAGGAAAAGGAGAGGGGCAGAAAGAAATGAAAGAGCCTGGCTTCCTAGACAGGGCAACCTCATCAACGTGAAATCGTCATTTGAAGAACCGGTTAATAAAGAAAGGCAGTGTAGTACAGAAAGAGGAAGTAGATTAGGGCTGCCTAGGACCAGTGGCGTGGGGGGCTTGGGGAGAACAGAGGAGTCACTGTTTTCTGAGGGGGAAAGACAGCTTCTAAAATTAGACTCTAACAATGGTCGCACAACCCTATAAATAGAGTAAAAACACGGAATCACCTACTTTAAATAAGTGAATTTGTTTGCATACGCACTACGTCTCGGTAACTGTTTAAAAGAAAAAGAATACGTACGGCGGTAACACCAAACGGTGGGCTTCTCCTGCAATAAGAGAAAAAGAAACACCATGAGGATGACATCATGCTGGGTCCCGCTGGCACAGGTCTAATATTCACTTGGTGACGTTAGATAACCAGATGGCAGGCTGGGCGCGGTGGTTCACTCATGTAATCCAGCATGTGGCGAGGCTGAGGTGGGCAGATCATGAGGGCAAGAGGTTGAGGCCATCCTGGCCAACATGCTGAAACCCTGTCTGTACTGAAAACTTCAAAAAACCCGGCATGGTGAAACGCCATCTCTACTACAAACTACAAGAAACCCGGCATGGTGGTTGTGAGAACCTTCTACTCGGGAGGCTGAGGCAGGAGAATTGCTTGAAAGCAGTAGGAGGACGCTGCAGTGCTCTGAGATCACACCACTGCACTGTAGCCTGGTGACAGAGAGACTCTGTCTCTAAAACAAAACTAAACTAAGCAAAAAACCAAATGTCAAACAGTGATGAAGTCACAGGCCCCAAATAGAGCACGGGATGCTTGCAGAAAATGCAGTGGGTTTGGAATACTTAGCAGGTATCTATGCTGGCTGAAAAGTACAAAATTATCTTTCAAGGAGAAAATGTGGCTACTGAGAAACATGCACAAGACCAGATTCTGAGTTATGCCATCTTTTGACTGACATCGTCAATCAGGCCTCAGTGTGGTCAGAATCTCCACTGACTGGTCGCTAGAGTTCATGACGACTGAGGTCTGATTCACAATGGCAGTCGAAAATAATCTTCACTTGATATTCCAGAGGCCCCAGAAATAAAAATTTCTCTTTGAGACAAAGAAATGCAGGGTAGCTCATCATCCTTGATGTGTTCCAGGCTGAGGTCTTGTGGGACCTGAACAGCACCTAAGAGAACATGAAGTGACAGTCAGTGCATTGGTGCTGCTGAGGAATCTCACAAGGAGCTTTGGGAAATGTGGACCAGGGTGGAGTGCATGGAGCTGGGCGTTTGACAAGCATGGACCCAGCTGCTGCTGGACCATTTTCCTTGGTGCTGAAGGAAGGAAAAGGAAAGGGGCAGAAAGAAATGAAAGAGCCTTGGCTTCCTAGCTGGGGCAGCCTCATCAACGTGAAATCGTCATTTGAAGAACCGATTAATACAGAAAGGCAGTGTACTACAGAAACAGGAAGAAGATTAGGGCTGCCTAGAACCAGCGGTGTGGGGGGTTGGGAAAAGCAGAGGAGTCACTACTAAGGGGGTTTTCTGAGGGGGGAAAAAAGCTTCTAAAATTAGACTCTAACAATGGTTGCACAACCCCGTAAATAGAGTGAGAATCACCTAATTTAAATGGGTGAGTTAGTTTGCATGTCAACTACGTCTCGGTAACTGTTTAAAAGGAAAAGAATACGTACGGTGGCAATACTGGGTGACATGTTTCTCCTGCAATAAGAGAAAAAGAAACATCATGAGGATTACATCATGCTGGGTCCCATTGGCACAGGTCTTGTATTCACTTGTGACATTAGGAAACCAGATGGCAGACTGGGCACGGTGGCTCACACATGTAATCCCAGCATGTTGGGAGGCTGAGGCGGGCAGATCATGAGGGCAAGAGATTGAGACCATCCTGGCCAACATGGTGAAACCCCGTCTCTACTAAAAACAAGAAACCCGGCATGGTGGTGGTGAGAACCTTCAGTCCCAGCTACTCGGGAGGCTGAGGCAGGAGAATTGCTTGAATGCAGTAGGAGGACGCTGCAGTGATCTGAGATCACACCACTGCACTGTAGCCTGGTGGCAGAGAGACTGTGTCTCAAAAACAAAAACTAAACCAAAAACCAGATGTCAGTGATGAAGTCACAGGCCCCAAATGGAGAACAAGGGATGCTTGCAGAAAATGCACTGGATTTGGAATACTTAGCAAGTATCTATGCTGGCTGAAAAATACAAAATTATTTTTCAGGAAGAATATGTTGCTACTGAGAAATACGCTCACTACTAGTTTTTCAGTGATGTCATCTTCTGACTGACATCATCAATCAGGCTTCAGTTGGTCATACATTCCAGTGACTGGTAGCTAGAGTCCATGACAGCTGAGGCCTGATTCACAAGGGCAGTCAGAAATGATACTCACTTGATATTCTAGAAGCCCCCAAAAAAGACATTTGTCTTCAAGACAAAGAAATGCATCTTACTATGTCAGGTGATGTCTCTTTAAGGTTTTCACGTCTCTTTAAGGTTTTCTTCTGGTCTTGAAGAGGAGCTAGGAGAACACAGAGAGACAGTAAGTACACTGGTGATGCTGAGGAATCCCACAAGATGTGGACGGAAGCTGCAGTGTATGGATGGGGGCTGTTGACAAGCATGAACTGAGCTGCCGCTCGGCCACTCTCCTTGGTGCTGAAGGAAGGCAAAGGAGAGGGGAAGAAAGAAATGAAAGAGCCTTGGCTTTCTAGCTCGGGAAACCTCATCAGTGTGAAATAGTCTGCAAACCGGTTAATACAGAACGGCACTGTATGGCTCAGTGAGAGCATCTCATCACACCTGCTGCCCACGTGAAGGTCTAGGCAAATCCCAACATTTTATGAAACGTTACAGGATTATTTAACTTCTGTGGATCTACATATCCTGCTGCTACATTTATCATCTGTCCTGTTGTATTTTTTAAATTTTAAAAGCTTACATATTTATTATTTTAATTATTAAGTGTGCATTCCAATGATATTATATTTAGTGAGTAACATTCATGATGCTGTGTCAAAAATGAGAAAAATCAAATCTAAATTCATAATCTAGCTTTCGCCTTGGATAATCTCGAATTGAGGAAAAATAAATAACGACTGCAGAAATTAATGGAATAAAAACAGGAAATCATCAGAGAAAATCAACAACAACAAAACCAGTTCTTTGAAAAGATCAATAACGCTGATAAACCTCTACCTTTTCTAACCTCAAAGGAAAAGAAGGAAGTCACGATGTACTAATAATATCAGTTCAAGACGAGTTGAATCAAAAAATAATAATAAAGGAATGTTGTGAACACATCTGTGCTCACACTTGGAAACATTATATGAAATGAGCTAACTTTTTGGATCTGTTTCAGAAGGTTAAACGTCTTCTCATGATAAATGAATCATCTGAATAGGCCTATATTTATATTAGAAATTGAATCAATAATTAGTATCTTCTCAAAAGAACAAAAACACTACCTTCAGATGATTTCACCGGTAAATTCTACCAAAATTTTTACAAAGAAACGTGGTCTTACCGTACGAGCAAGTAACCAAATTTTAGTATTTCCTTACATTTTAAAATTGTGTTTCCAAACAAGACACAAGAAGGTTTGTAATTTCTGTATTCATAATTGCCCAAACTGAAAGCAAATGTCTAAACATTTGAGATGTCCTTTACTATCAAAAGCGAACCAAGCCTGAGCAACACTGTGAAACCCCGTCTCTACAAAAAAAAAATAAAATTTAAAAAAAAAGCTTGGTATAAAGCATGTGCATTATAGCCATCTGCTTGGGAGGCTGAGGTAGAAGGATCATCTGAACACGGGGAGGTCAAGATTGCAATGAGCTGTGATTGCACCAGTGCACTCCTGGGTGAGAAAATGAGACCTTTTCACAAAAACAAAGAAACAAAAAGAACCAAACTCTAAGTTGCCAATGTAACTTTACTTGTGTAGTTGCATCACCCATTAATTTAATGCATTTAAATGGGCACAAATGAAATAAATGAAGAACATCACATAGCATTTACTGAGTTTCTCTGGGACACTGGATGGGAATTGTTTGCTTCAATCAACTTAATGATATAATTTCCACCCTACCTTCATTTGCAGTGGGGCAAATTTTTTTACGCCTCCGTTTTTGTACCCAGCTCCTCACGCGGCCAGCCAAACCTGCAAGGTAGAAATGTATTATAATAAAGACAACTCTTGACATCTTGCTGAAATTAGTAAAAACTTATTCAGTTTAAACTTTTGATCCTAGTTTTCACCGACTACTTTTCAATGCTACCTGAATTAGATCTGGGATCTAGGAAGATTTGTTTGTCCAGGCAGATACATTTATTCAGATGAGACAATATAGAAAAGCAGAAGATCCAAGTTACCAAGAATAGGCTGGGTTCAAATCCTACTTAGAATCTGCACATACCTGGGAGAGGGATATGAACCCATCTGTGCCTCTCTTCCCTATTCTGAGATGTAAAAACGTTAGTAGATCTATGCTATAGACCTACTAAGGTCTATAGCACCTAAAAGAATGAAATGCAGATGAAGACTTAAAAAGACTCTTTTCTTTTGTAAATGCCCTAAAATGTTCAATCATTCAATGTCGAGAAGGATAATCCAGATACATGGTAGTGGTTGAATACAGAGAGGAAGCCTGCATGTCTCCTGTGCAAAGTAGGATGGAAAGTGATGTCACAGTTTCCATGGCCACATGATTTCCAGCTCATGACAGAGATCTGTGATTTCCCTGATCCCCACATCAGCCCCAAAGGACAGGCAGGGAAGGGGCTACAACCCATATTTTCCAATTCAGTGAAATAAGACTCAGACATTTTGAGTGACTTGCCCAGTGTCACCGCAGTGAGGAGTGATAGATCTGAGGTAATAATGTAGTTGGTTCCCCAGGGATAGAGATCCTGGAACACCTGAGTCCTCTAGATCATGCCCTGAACCCTGGACTGAGAGCTCTTCTCACAAGCTTTGTCAAATCCTGCTACCCCAACATTTCTGTGGGATGGTTGAAGCTCTGGAGAGGTGGCAGACGCATTTACTGACCTACTGTATTATCCCCATGTTGTCACTTTTATTAGTTTGATGACCCATAAGGCAAACATTTTAAGTCTCTCAGTTATGCATGATCAGAGATTTTACCTAAGCCCACTCTTTCTACCCATCAGGTGATTCTCATCTGCTGGGCTAGAGCTGGCCTGATGTAAAAAATAACACACGGCATACCATGGAGCTGCTGCGTGCCCCACTCCGGTGAACATGGCATACTATGGAGCTGCTGCGTGCCACGCTGTGAACATGGCATACTATGGAGCTGCTGCGTGCCACGCTCCTGTGCACGTGGCATACCACAGGGCTGCTCCATACCCCAATCCTGGGCACATTCTTGCCTTGCTTCTGCTTTCCCAGCTCTGACAATCCTAATTCTGGCTTCCAAACCAATCCTGTATGTCCCTCTCAGTTCTCAGACTTGCCTCAACTGTTGGATATTTTAATCACTGTTGTAGTGACCATGACTGAACTGTTTCATATACCATACTATATGTTTATCTTTTATATATTTCTTAATAAAATTTAACTTATTTTTTTCAGACTTTTTAGGAACGTTTCTGGGCTAGGTGTGCTGGCCCATGGCTATAATCCTGACATTTTTAGAGGCTGAGGCAGGAGAATTAGCTTAAGGTCAGAAGTTTAAGACCAACCTGGGCAACACAGTGAGACGTCAATTCTACAAAAAGCTTCTAAATGTCATAGGATGTGGTGGTGAGCCCTTGTATCCCTAGCTACATGGAAGCCTGTTGTGGGAAGATCATTTGAGCCTAGAAGATTGAGGCTGCAGTGAGCTATGATCACGCCACTGTACTCCAGCCGGGGTAACAAAGCAAGACCCTGTCTCTTCAAAATAAAAAGCATTACTGTGTTACACGTATCCCCATTTTGTTTCTCATTATCTAATATTGCTGTTTTCATCCTGAGGCTTGATTGCTTTAGTAAGCTTTAGAAAGTTTTTTAGACAAGGTAGTATTTATAGCAGGCCATATGCATGCCTTTTTATAGATTCTAGTTTTATATGCCATATATCTAGAATTTACATTCCTGATCTACTCCGTCTTCTTCTTAGAACCAGCCTCCTCATATGTAACACAAGTATAATTCCCATATTACACCTAACTCAAAACATTGAGAGGATAGAATAAAATCAAAGAGCAGTCTGTATACTACACAAGGCACAATAGATTACAAACCAAAGCTTTCTCTAACTCAAAGGCGAAAAGTGCACACTTAACATCCTTTGCAGAACCCATAGCAAAATAATATTTTGAGAAACTATGCACTTTGGCTACCCAGTGAAATTAGGAGAAAACTGTCACAGGTCATCAAGACTTCCCCAACGTTATCTTTTATTTTTAAATAATGAAATACCATTATTTCTCCTGCTATCTTTCATGTATATTACTGCACATTCTCCTTTTGGCTTTTCTGAGTACCCTATTCTTGGGAATCACTCCACAGCAATAACTTACTCTTTTTCACAGCTCCATACTTCTCCTTTATGTACAAGTACCAGCTTATTTTACTAGTCCCTTACTAGGCATGCCAGTTATTTCCAATATTTAACTATTGAAAATAATGCAACAAGAACTCTGCAAATAGTTTGTTTTATATTTACGGAGCATAACTTCAGGATAAAATTCCTCAAAGTAGGATGTCTGGTTCAAATGCATTTTCACGGTTGTGAGATTGTGCCAAATTCCCCTTCATGGAGTTGAGTCTTTGCATTTCTACCAGCAATACATGAATGCAACTTTCCTCACAGCCACACCAAGGAACGTTCTGCCATGGTTTTGGGATTTCCCTCAATAGGAGAGACCCTGCAGTAGAGCTGTCATTTGCCTTTCTTTTATGAGTGAAGATGTGTTTAAAAATCACCTGTATTTCTTTTTCTGTGACTTGTCTATTTACCACTTTATTATCCACTTTTAGTTTCACTTGATTTTTCTCAAGTCCGCCCATTGTTTTTCTCTTCACTGTCGGTTCTCACCTGAACTACTCCACCAGTCTCCTAGCTGCTCTTCCTGCTTCCACCCTTGCCTGTATTACAGCATATTCACAGAGCTGCTGCTCAGTCTTTTTCTTAGAGAATTAACAGTAATCCTGGGCTATAATCCTCCAGTGGTTTTCCATCTCAACTGAAGTCCATCTTTTCTGTGAGTGTTCACTACATGTACAAGGTCTTCACCCACCTTATTCATCCCAGCATCCTTTTACTCTGCTGCAGCTGCCCTTGTGGCTTTCCCTCCTTTGCCTAAAACTTTGTTTCAAAGTTTCAAATCAAAACTTTGTTTCAATTTCAGGAATTCCAAAGCAGATATCCCTCTCTGGAAGCCCTCTCCCACCATCCTCACAGGGTTCCCCTCACTTTTTTATTTTTAAAACTAAATAAGATGGGGTGTCTCTGTGTTGGCCAGGCTGGTCTTAAACTTCCAGCCTCAAGGAATCCCTGGCTTTCCAAAGTACTGGGATTAAAGGTGGGAGCCACTATACCCAGCTCATTTCACTTTTAAGACTGTTCACATGTCACTTAAAGAAAACATTTGGCTCTTAGCGCCAACCCTCCATCAAACTGCCCTCCTCTTTAATCCATCACCCTGCTTTACTTTCTTCCCAGCACGTCACCACCTGCCATTCTTGACTATTCATGTGCTGGCTGCCCTTACTTCCCTATCGAATGTAAGGGTCAGACTTAGAATGGGGCTCTCTGTTGTGTTCCACTGTTGGCCCTGCATCTGCAACACTGCCAGGCCATTTGAAACTGCTCGATACATATATTTCATTTTACCCCAAACTAGTTAAGTTTCTCCCAATTCTCCCAGATCTGCTAAAGTTTTCTTTTGTTTTATCATCTAAGACAGCATCGGATTTTTAAAACTGGTAGCTATTTAGCATTAAAGACACAAGCTATCAAGATCCACAAAAATATAAATGAAGAATGTTAAAGTCAATGGTAACTGCAATTTGACACAAGTATATTTAACACTAAAATACCTTAAATACAAAGTGACTCATTTCATCCATTTAATTATGTCACTAGAAAAAATATATTATCTGAATTTTATAACGAGATATCACACCTGTCATCAAAATGTGCTTTATGTGTGTTCTGAATCAAACATGACAGGACTGTTTCTGACTTTACGAAAAAACACGGCCAATCGCAAGGGGTAGGTAAATAAATAGTGCTTTAACCAGTCCGTAGTACACTAAGCAGTTATTCAAAGTCATCAGGTAGAGCAGGGTGCCCTGGCAGGCAAAGACATCCTGGAGTGCTCTCTGGGTGTCAAGTACTGTTTGAGAAACTTACGCCATTATCTCACTGCTTTAAGTAAAAGTTACAAGGCAGCACATATAAAATAATCAGAAAGTTTTATTTTACAAAAAAGTTTGTGAAATAAAATATTATATTCAAATGCATAGCAATAATTTCCAAACTGTAACACAAGTGATCTATGGGTATTCTGAGTGTAATAAATAACATTTCTTTATTTTCTACATCTTTTACATGAAACATACTGATAGTTATTTTAAAAGGAGGGTTCAAAATAGGTACTAGAAAGCTGAAAGACCTGCTGCTCAGAGGTCTCTACATCATATGCCCATGCTTTCCCTTCCCTGACCCCTCACTTGAGAGAGCCAACAAACCAGCAGCATTCCTATGGTAAGAACACAAAAGGCTGCATGAAAAGTCGATGGGTAGTGATAAAATTGAATAATGAGCTCCTACTATCTTAATCTGTTACTTATATTACCCCCAGTCATATTAGATATACTGCTAAATAAAGGCATGATAGGACAAAACATGTTTGAGTCTGAGATCTAAACTGGGTTCTTAGAGCTTCTCTTTGAAATGGCTTCAAGACACAATGTTCTTTTGAAGTATTTCAGAAGAGAACAATGAAGCAGAGCATTATTTAAAACAGGACTTGCCACCTAGAGAGCACTCCAGGATGTCTTTCTACAGCAATGCGCCCTGCTCTGCCTGATGCCTTTAAATAACTGCTTAGTGTGCCACAGAATGGTTGGAGCACTGGTTGCTGTGATATTTGTCTAAGTTACCAAAAGAAATCAATCGTCATTATAGAAAGGCTAAAATGTTTCACATCTAAGTAGGAATTTATCATTTTCCAAAAAACGTGATACACAATTTTCTGAAATGAAGATATTAACAAACTTTGAATGTGTCTATACTTTATATTGAGTGTTCTGAACATGTTTCTTTCATTTTATTTTCCCAGCCAGGCTGGAGTGTACTGGCGGGATCTCGGCTCACTGCAACCTGCAACTCCCGGATTCAAGTGATTCTCCTGCCTCAGCGTCCCAGGTAGCTGGGATTACAGGTATGTGCCACCATGCCTGGCTAAGTTTTTGTATACTTAGTAGAGAAGGGGTTGCATCATGTAGGCTGGTCCCAAACTCCTGACCTCAGGTAATCTGCCCACCTCGGCCTCCCAAAATGCTGAGATTACAGGCATGAGCCACTGTGCCTGGCCAAAGAATGAACACTGAAATTGAGGTTTCTGTTATCCCTTTACTGAATACCACAAAAACACGTTTGAAGAGACATATAGAAACTTACTGTCATGCACATACACATAAGATGGTAAATTCTGTGCTCACAAACTATTTTTTCTTCAACTGCTCTGACTTAACATTTCTTACTCGGGGCCTTGCTTGCCCTCCTGCCAGCTTCTCCTTTCTCCTGACCAGGGCATTCTCAGCTTCAAATCAGTTAGCAGATGAAACTCTTCCACATTTATTAAACTGTTGATTTGACTGGTAAATGCAGGCCATTTTGTTACCCCTACTTTTATCCTTATCTATTTCAATAAATGTATGGACAGAAGGTAGAGCCAGGAGAGATGGCACATGCCTGTATTGTCAGCTTTCCTACAGGGCAGCAGGAGTGCTTGAGCCCAGGCCAGGAGTCAGAAGCCTGGGCTCTGTGCCCACAGTGAGGACCCATCTCTTTAGGAGGAAAAACGGAGAGGTAAATGTGTAAAATAAAATGCAAAAAGAACTAATCAAGATGAAAGTTCTAAGAGAGGTCTATGTTATGGGTAGACCTTAAAATATAAGACATTCTGGAGTCTGTCAAGTTCTTTAAGAACTGAGTTTGGCATCACTACGACCTCCAATGTCTACTTTGATGACTTAGAACCTCAGTCCTGTTCAGCAGCCGTCTCACACAGTCCCTTCAGATCTCTAAGCCTTCCCTTCTGCATCAGCAACATAGCTAGAATATACACAGGTCTTATTTGTATTTGGAAGCTTCCAGTAAGATGTACAGGAAAACATGTTTTACATCCTAAAGAATAAGGAAAAGGCTCACTTTGTTCTCTCACTACCTCATCTGCCAAATCAGACAGAATATCACACAGAGGCTTGCCATCAAGGAGTTTCCACAGGTACTTGCATGCTTTGTGTATAAGGTACAATCTATTAAGTCTCATAATTATTTATTCTTTCACAATTTTTCAATACTCTAAAAAGGGAGTACAGCACTTCCTTGTTACAAAGGCACACCCATCATGAGGCTTAATTATTCTGTGAAAGAAGGTAAGAGCCAAACTGAAGTTTAAACACAAGACCTGTAAGACATTTTCTCCATACTAATAAAATCTCTGCCATTAAAATGAAAGAAATGAGCTGATCATATTTCTATGTCTTTATGATATAATGTTTTCTATTTCAGTGGACTTAGTCTTTGTTCAAGGAACTGGTTACCCAGAATTATCTGTTGCTAGATTCATCTATTTCTAAAATCCTAAAGGATTTTAGACTGAAGGCTGCTGGCCCTGGTTGATGCCTGTCACCCAAAAAGCCTATGTCACCTGGTTACCAGGAAACAACCAAGTCAGGCTACTGGCTCACAATGCCCGAGCCCCACCCAATGGCTCACAATGCCCTGCCCCACAGCCCCACCCAATGGCTCACAGTGCCCTGCCCCACAGCCCCACCCAATGGCTCACAATGCCCATCCCTGCTGCTGCCCACCTGTGGTCACCATTTCCCCCATGTGACTGCATTATTCATCCTGGGCTGCCTGAGCTTTCCAATCATGAGAAAAGTTTGTGGAGGGAAGGGTGGTTGTTATTGGAAGTCACCCTGGGCACTGAACTCAGTAGAAAACCTTGATTACTAATGTCAGTTCCATTAGCATCTCTGGTTTTCTGAGTCTGGGAGCTTTCATTTGCTCAAAAAATGTAGTGATACACAAATGTTTGACTGATTTTGTAACTAAATGCTCCTCTCCCATCTTACAAGTGTTAGTTTTTGTCTTCAATTTGACCACAGCAAAAAAATGAAATGCTTCCTCTCTCCTCCCCTTTCCCATCCTGTAGGAAGGGGAGCCATGAAAACAAACTCTTTTCGCCTTCTAACTCTCAAGTCTTTACCTTACAAATTCAAGTCAAAAGTCATTTCATCTCTTTTGGAACCTGTAACCATGAGCTAGCTCTACCTGTCTTTCAGAAGGTAAGGAGGTAAAGCCCATGAAGTTACTGGAGTAGTGCCGAAGAGACATTCACATCAAAGTGGGAATTTTTAAGTAATCAGAGCTCCAGGGCTAAACTTTGGGTAAAACCACAGCAAAAACAACTTTTCTACAGCTCTGGCAGTAACATTTCATATCTTTTGCTGTCATTTTAAGCATGTCCCTCAATTTTTCCTTTGGTTTTCAAATTACAATTGGAAGAAGTAAAGCTGCTTCTGTCAAGGTGACTTCAAACCATCTCTTAAGAACACCATATAATCTCTTCCATAGCTCTATTTTAAATTTAAGAACTTTCCAAATATTTGAGTCTGAATTTTCCCAATTATTAGCTTCCTTATCGAATAGGAGAAAAGAAATGATTGGCCTTCACTGAGGTACCATAGTAGCTGGATAGGTAAGGCTAGAGAATGGGATGGAGACTCCAAAACTGGAGTATCTGAATTTTCACTGGGGAAAGGGAAAGACTAGACCCAAAATGCCTCAAGCAAGAAGGCTCAACAACAAAGACAAGAGGCGGGACTAGCCTTTGTCCCCCATGCCCAGCCCTGGGAAAGCTGGCTATAGGCAGGAGGGAGCTGAGAGCTGAGGATGTCTCTGGGGTGAGGGGATGGGAAGGAGGTGGGGGAGGTGGTGGCCAGAAAGAAAATGGCACCTGTGGCTTCCTTACCTTTGCGCCGCTTTGACTTGGGCTGCACATGCTGGACCTCCACCACTCCGGCATATACAAAGTCAGGCTCTGCAGTCGTGGATTCTGGTGGTGTAGCTGCCACAGACTGAGTCCCACAACATGACGCCACTGCCTCCCGGCACCAGGCACAAATGAGGCCAGCCCTGGGGCCTAGGAAGTTCGTGACCTATAAGGGGACTTTCAAAACAAAGCAATGCACAAAATCAGAAAAAAAAAAAAACAAAAAAGAACAATGAGAACACGTGGACACAGGGAGGGGAGCACTACACACTGGGGTCTATTGTGGGGAAATAGGGGAAGGACAGCAGGGGGTGGGGAGTTGGAAAAAGATAGCATGGGGAGAAATGCCAGATATAGGTGATGGGGAGGAAGACAGCACATTACACTGCCATGTGTGTACCTATGCAACAATCTCCTCCTCCTCCTCCCACTACCAGCTTCCGACTGAAGGCTGCTGGCCCTGGCTGATGCCTGTTACCCACAAAGCCTCCTATGTCACCTGGTTACCAGGAAACAACAAAGTCAGGCCAGTGGCTCACAATGCCACTTCCCACAACCCCACCCAAAGGCTCACAATGCCCATCCCTGCTGCTGGCCACCCTGCCCCTCTTGGTGACTGCATTATTCATCCTGAGTGGCCTGAGATACTCCATTTCAGAAAACCCAGAAATGTCCCTTCATAGATTCTATATAGAGAGTGTATCTAACCTGTGAATAAAAACAAAGGTTTCATTCTGCATGATAAATCCACAAACACAAAGCATTTTCACAGAATCCTTTGCGGCCCACCTCTCACCTTCAGCTTCCTGTTCTTGGTTATTTGGGCTTCAGTCTTGTATGCTCTGTCAGGTTCTAGGCCTTGTAAGGGTGAGTTCCATGTCTCCACTCATTTATATGTGCCCAGGACAGTTGGCTCTTGGGAGGGTCTTCACGACTGAGGCCATGGATCCTTCGCACTGTTCCTTGAATCCACTTGACACAAAATACTCATCCTGCAGTGATGCTTTGAAAGTGATGCTTTCATTCAATTAGGGGCCAGCTGTATTACGGATCCCTAGCACCCAATACATGGCATATGAGAAATGAATGAAAAATAAGTGAATGAACTCAAGTGTGCCTACAAGGTGAGAGAAAATGGTCCGTGCTACGAAGGCATCTGGGACCATTGGCTTTGCTATTTCATAGTAGGCCTGGGGCTTTGAAGGCTGGTATTTCCTCATTCTAAACCTCAAATTCCAATAAATTACCACCAAGTGGACAAAAGTCCATGGGCCAGAGCTCTTGGTGTGAACAACATACCTTTTGTGGGTGTGATTAATGGGCAGGGACTATACAAAACTAAAAACAATGTTTGTGTGCTGACTACCTGCAAGCCATGGTGATAAAACACTCTGCATACACGATCTTATTCAATGCTTGTTACAAATCCACGAAGTGAATTTTTATGCAAACTTTCTATTCGAGCTTTTTGGAACAAGAGGCTAGTGTGGTGACTTTCACCTACTCGGCAGCAGATTTAGATACTTGTTATCTGATGGCCAATCTCGTTACATGTATACTCCTACATGCTTCTCCTCTCCCTCTCATGATTTTATAGCAAATCCCACACATCATATAATTTCCTCCCTGTGTCTGTAAAAGATACGATTCTTGTTTGTTCTTTCAAGATAAGGTCTCTGTCAACCAGGCTGGAGTTCAGTGGCATGATCTTGGTTCACTGTGGCCTCTCCTGCCTCAGCTTCCTGAGTAGCTGCAACTACAGACTCACACCACCATGCCAAGCTAATTTTTTAATTTGTATTTTAGTAGAGACAGGGTCTTGCTATGTTGCCCAGGCTGGCCTAGAATTCCTGGATTCAAAGGATCTTCCCATCTTGACCTCCGACACTACTGAGATTATAGGTGTGAAGCGCCATGCCTGGAGACAAGAACTCTTTAAAAAATATAATAATCCCAATACCATCATCAACCAACCATCTCACACCATTGCTCTTTATCACTGTCAACTCTCCTTCTAGCTCCAAATTTCCAGTCATTTCATGTATTTATTGTGTGAATCAGGATCCAAATAAAGTCTCTCCTTGGGATTGTTTGATTCACCTCTTAGGGTTTTCTTCCCACTTTGATCTCTGTGCTGTCCCTTGCAGTCCATTTATTGAATAAATCAGGTCATTTCCCCATAGTTTGGATTATGCTAAATGTGTTCTTATTATGCTGTTTCTCATACTGTGAATTTTGCTAATTGTATCTTGTGATGTTGGTTAACTTGCTCTTCACTTTGTTCTAGCTTTGATAAATTAGTAGTTTGATCTAAAGACGTGGTGAGATTCAGGTTGGACTTGAGGGTCAGGGCAAAGACTGTGCTAGTTTCTTCTGGGAGGAGTTGTGTAGTTTCTGGACATCTTTTTTTTTAATTGGTGATGTTAATGGCCATTGATCAATTATGGATTGAACAATGAAGGTATTGTTGTATCATTCCTTCTTCATTTATGAGCTGCCATACTTCCAGAAAGAGATACTGCTACCTGAAGGGCCTTGCATGAAGAAAAAAATGAAGCAGATGTAAAAAAGAGATGCTGCTTCTAATAAACTGTGTTACTCGTACAACTTATATAGAAAATGCCAGTTCATGGCTTGATTTCTTCTGCTTAACCATTTTTCAAAATGATGGGCTGTTTCATTTATATCCTTCAATGGTGACCACTTGTATTTATTTATAGACAGGGAGGGTCTAGCTCTGTTGCCCGGGCTGGTATGCAGAGAAGCAGTCATGCCACTATAGCCTCAAACTTCTAGGCTCAGGTGACCCTCCCATCTCAGCTTTCTGAGTAGCTGGGACCAAAGACACATGCCCTCATACTTGAGTAATTTAAAAAATGTTTTGTAGAGACAGAGTCCCCCTATGTTGCACAGGCTGGTCTTAAACTGCTGGATGAAGTGATCCTCCTAACTCAGCCTCCTGGAGTGTTGAAATTACAGGCATGAGGAACTGTGCCAGTCCACTTTTATTTTTTCAAAAGGATCATTATGAATGCAGATATTCAAACATATCTGATATATCTCAATTCACTGCAACTATTATCCTTATTAATGTATAATCTTTGGTTAGGAGTCCCTTCAGATTGGCCCTTCAGACATGTTGAAATCATCCTAATAATCTTTGATGGATTCTTTGCTATCTGGAGTGACAATATGTTCCAGGCTCCTTACACATTTCTGGCCTAGACCTAAAATCAGCACTTTCTCCAAGAAGGCTTCTTTTCTTTCATTGGGCAATGGTATTTTGAGACTATATTGAGACTACAATCTTGGTGCTAGGGGTAAATAGTATAATTTTACAACTTAGAAAACTGCCTGGCTCATGCCTGTAATCCTAGCATGTTCAAAGGCCGAGATGGGTGGATCACCTAAGGTCACAACTTTCAGACCAGCCCGGACAACATGGTGAAACCCCATCTGTACTAAAAATACAATAAATTAGCCAGGCATCATGGCAGGAGCCTGTAATCCCATCACCTTGGGAGGCAGAGACGGGCAGATCACAAGGTCAAGAGATCAAGACCATCCTGGCCAACATGGTGAAACCTCTTAAAAATAGAAAAATATTAGGCAGGCACAATGGCACTTACCTGTGGTCCCAGATACTCCGGAGGCTGAGGAGGAAGAATGCTTGAACCCAGGAGGTGGAGGCTGCAGTAAGCCAAGATTGGGCCAGCGCACTCCAGCCTGGTGACAAAGCCGGAATCCGTCTAAAATAAACAAATAAGCCAGTCATAGTGGCTCATGCCTGTAATCCAAGCACTTTGGAGGCAAAGGCGGGCGGATCACCTGAGGGCGAGAGTTCATGACCCACCTGACAAATATGGTGAAACCCCATCTTTAAATGAAAAGAAGAAAGAAAAGTAAATAATAAATAAATAAGTAAATACATGCAAGACTGCCTCTAAATCATTATACAGATAGTTAAGAAAATGAATAAATGCAAGCCTGCACACAAAGTATAAAAATAATGTTGTGAGCCTGGGTCTAAATAAAATAAATGAGTAAATGTGAGCCCGCCTCTAAATAATCAGCTAGCAAGCTAAATCCAAGTCTGCCTCCAAATACTTAAATAAATAAATTCGGCCTGCTTCTCCATTACTACACCAGCAAATAAGTAAATAAATAACTGCAAGTCTGCCTCCAAATAAATCAATAGATAAATAAATCAATAAATAAGCAGCCCCACTTGGTGGCTCATGTTTTTAATACCCCACCCATTGGGAGCCTGAGCTGGCTGTATCACCTGAGGTCAGGACATTGAGACCAGCCTGGCCGAGATGGTGAAACAATCCTTGTGTCTATTTTTTTAAAAAAAGGTAAAAATAATTAAATAAATTAATTAAAACATAAATAAATAAATGCAAGCTGGCCTTCCTGTCTCTAAGTAAATAAATCAGAAACTTTGTAAATAAGTAAATAAAGGCTGGGTGAGCTGGCTCAGTCCTGTAATCCCAGCACTTTGGGAGGCCAAGACCGATGGATCACGAGGTCAAGAGATCAAGACCACCCCGGCCAACATGGTGAAACCCTAAAAAGATAAAAATATTAGCCAAGCTCGGTGGCACTTGCCTGGGGTCCCAGATACTCCAGAGGCTGAGGAGGAAGAATCACTTGAACTCAGGAGGTGGAGGTTGCAGGAAGCCAAGATTGGGCCAGTGCACTCCAGCCTGGTGACAGAACAAGACCCCCTCTAAGATAAATAAACAAACGAACAAACAAATGCCCTATGTCTTAATAGTAAATTGTACTGTTAGGTCTTACAAAAATGAATGTGAAAGGGAATGTTCTGCAAGATGGAACAAAATCGCAAATTTAGATCTTTGTAATTTTTATTGTTAATTTTCTATTATAGAATAACAATAACACTGAAGCACCCTAAAACATATATAAGAGGGAAAAATCATTCACAATGATTATAGCCTGACATTAACAGTATTTGCATTTTTGTGTTTCCCAAGCCTCTATTTTTCTGTGGATGTTAAACCATGGCTCTAGCTATAATCCTTATGTATATGAGTATATTTCATAAGGGTCTAATCTTAGTGTGCAAACAATTTTCTATCTTTTCTACCATACTATCTAATATATATATAACACACACATGCATACATAT